AGAGAGAGAGAGAGAGAGAGAGAGAGAGAGAGAGAGAGAGAGAGAGAGAGGTTGAATGGCAAAATTGAAATATGGGTCTTGCGGCCGCAATCTATTTCGCAGTTGGAATGATTTTTTAAAATTTATGTAGCGTTTGTCTTGGAAAGATCACAACAAAATTTACGAGTACTCAAATTTTCAGGTTTTTTCACGCATTCTTCGGAGCGCGAAAACTCACTGAATTTGGAGTACTTTTTAGTTGGCCCAGGCATGGCTGAGTGGCAAAAATGGAAAATGTGCTGAATCGGCGCGACAATTATTTCGCAGTCTAAATGATTTTTTGTAAATGTTCTATTATTATTTCTGGAAAGAGCACGACCTCATCTATGGATTCTCAAAATTTCAGATTTTTGTGCATGTTCGTCTGAGCACAGAAAATCGCCAAAGTTGCCTCTTGCAAAACACCTGTTTCGTTGTGCCTGACCTCCCTGTTTTGAGACAACGGGGCTCAATGCCTGGGCCTGAGGGCCCTTTTGCAGATCACATGCCCTCACTTCTTTTTGGGTTCCGCTTCTACCCAAGGACTGGTCCAATGCCCCCACTTCTTTTTGGGGCCCACTTCCACCCGAGGACCGGTCCTTCGTTTTTCCAAAAGTCCCGGTTCTACCAGAGCTAGCTGTAGGTAGTCCGCAATTTTGACAAGGACCGGTCCCCCCAATTTTTTTGCCCCCGAAAAACCCACTTGCGCCCGCCGCCAAAAATGAGACACCTTGACACAGACTCCGAAGCCCACTATACCGCAGCCTAAGGGCTGCGAATTAATTAACCCTTCTCTGTATCGGTCCAATTTTAACGGATGTCCCGAAGGACAATTCGGGTGTTTTTGGGTACCGTTCGGCGGAGTTTTCAGCGCATCTATGTATGGCATTTTTTTTTTTTTTTTTTCTTATAAAAGAAAGTTGTTATTATCAGCTTTGAACAAGGGAGGCCCGGGACCTCACAATTCAACCCGGTGTTATCCCGGCAGCATCAGCCGGTTTAGCTTATGGGGAAAACCATCAAGATCCATACCAACATGCTGATCTACTTAAAAGCTAGTATACTACCAAGAAAAGGCCAAGCAACCTATAGCTACTATTGCCATACATCCAAGAAGCTACTCTAATCTATCTGCAAATTCACAGACCTAAAGGCGGTCTGAGCCCAGCCCAAAACGGCCGAGAGGAAACACTGTTCCTTTTTGTAACCCGACACTCTCCTCCCCACCAAGCCCTCTGCAGTCTACTGCGGCTGCCGACCAGTATGGCGGGGTTTCAGCGCATCTATAGCGGGTGTATCTTTGTATTTTGGAAAGATTCATGATCCATTTTGCATATTCCGGTCCGGGAGTAGTGGGCGGGGCCCTCAGAGGGCAGAGGGCGGGGACGGGGTCAGAAATTGGCACTGCGGCGCGCCTGGGCGCGGTATGTTGGGCGTCGCCGCACTACTCACCACCAAATGTACAAAATGAGAATGAATCTTCCGCTAGAACATGGGCAGATGCGCGGCCATCATTTTTGTAATGAATCTTCAGCTAGAACATGGGCAGATGCGCGGCCATCATTTTTGTAATGAATCTTCAGCTAGAACATGGGCAGATGCGTGGCCATCATTTTTGTCTTTTGTCCATGCGTCGAGTAGCGCGGCGAGGCCCATTGGTCTGTCTGTCCCAGAGGCTTCCTCTATGGTCGGTGGCCAGTCGGGGGTGGCCAGCCTCTTCTCCTCGAAAGGAAGACATGTCCCCCAGGGCTACTGGTAGGTCCCACTTACACGAATTAAGCGATAGTGACCGTAGATAGCAAAGATCAACGGCCAGATTCTCGTAATCCGTGCAAGTGGGGCCTTGCCCCCAGAGTGCTAAGAGGGGCATTACGAGAGCGGAGGAGACGGGGGAACATTTCCCAGGGCGAGGAGCAACGAGACGAATTGCTCCTTGTCCGATGGCCGCTGACGTCATCGCCATCGCCATCGCCATCGCCACTGCATCCATCGCCATCGTTTCCGCCGCCGCCGCCGCCGCCGCCGCCGCCGCCATCGCCTAGCCCGCCGCAGAAGTTTCGTAAAGCGACAAGAAAGGCTGCCCAAGAAATTTTCGAAGTTGCCGACGAGGAGGAGGAGGAGGAGGAGAGGTAGGTAGGGGATCATATCATGGAGGCAGGGAAAGGTTCGCCTTCGTGGTGGTCCACATGGTTCGCTTCGCAGAGCCAGTATCGCGATCGTGATGGCGATGGCGCGGTATCCCTTGTCCACTGGTGGCTGTCTTGGGGCATTACGCGGTTGCTCTCCGTGTTCGGCTTGACGACGGGGGACGGAGAGTATCCAGAATGGCTACCGCATGCGGTGATGAGTGGGATGGTGAGCGCGGTGGTCACGGCTATGGCGGCTTTCGTGTTGCATAAGAAGCTGTTGCGCTCTTCTTCTGTTTCGTTATCAAAAGATGGAAGAGAGAAAGGAGGAACTGCAAGGAGAAGAGAGCGGGCAGAGAAGCTCGTCGTGTTGGAAGAGACGGATGGAGAGTCGGATGAGAACAGTCTCGGATCGATGGGAGTAATTGCTGGATCGATTGGAGATAAGGGAGGAGGGGGAGGGGGCGGGGGGAAAGAGGGGGGCGCGGGTGGAGGAGGAGGGCCGCCCATCAGCGGAAGCAATCGAGGTAAGCGAAGGCGAAGCCATCGACTTGTAGCAGCGGAGCGCAGTGTCATTATGGCAGCAGCTGATCAGGCGCTGGGACCTGTGTCTGCGACCAAGGGGGGAGGAGGTCCCATCACTCCCCGTCAGCATCAACAGCGGGAAATCCAAGATCAGTATCATCGTCTTCATCAGGATCAGTTTTTCCCAATTAAGGTTGATAATCATTGGCCTCAACAACAACAACAATCGACGCCCTTGCTAGTGCAATCAACGGCCTTGTCTCTGCAATCGTCGCCGTTTGCGATCCAATTGCCGAAGTCCCCACGAGTGCAGCAGCAGCAGCAGCAGCAGGATCATACGGCCGCATCTGGTCCGCATGAGGACCAGATGCAGCAGCAGCAGCAGCAGCAGAACTTGCAAGTTGAAGGGCGGGAAGAGTGGGGTCGAATGGTAGGGCGCCGTCAATTGCGTGTGAATGCAACGAACGGACGAGATGAGCGCATCGGTAAGAACCACCTGCCTTCTCCCTTCTCTCTCTGTGTTTTGGCAAATTGGGCGTGTGCCGGTGTCGAATATCTGTCGGTCTGGAGTGTGTTGGTTGGCTTTTGCCTATTTCCCGATTAGAGTGCTGACGCTGAAACTGGAGGGAAAGAGAGGCACACTCTTTGTGATACTGCTTGTGCCTTCCGCCTCTGCCCCCGCTTTACGTCACATTATTTGGGGTCACTTTTTTTTTTTTCATCACATTTCTTATTTCTCATTTCTGCCTATTTCCCGATTAGAGTGCTGATGCTGAAACGGGAGGGAAAGAGGCACTCTCCTTGTGATAGTGCTTGTGCCTTCCGCCTCGGCCCCTGCTTTACGTCACATTATGTGCATCACATTTTTTTATTTTTTTTTATTTTTTTTTTAACCTCATTTCTGCCTATTTCCCGATTAGAGTGCTGACGCTGAAACTGGAGGGAAAGAGGCACTGTCCTTGTGATAGGGCTTGTGCTTTCCGCCTCGGCCCCCGCTTTACGTAACATTATTTGCGTCACATTTCTTATTTCTCATTCCTCATCCCCTCCCCCTCCCCCCCTCCTTTCCCCCTTTACGCCACATTCATGCAAAGACACACACACACACAGAGAGAGAGAGAGAGGAAGTAATTCGTGAAAAGTTTGCAGAAACAAACTAAGGAACTTAACGTGGGGGTGAGGTCCCACTAGCAAAGAGGATTGGATTGAATGCCCGAATGTGGACGTGATTGTGGAGAGGTGCAGAAAATCGATACTGAACTGATTTTCTGCATCTGTGCTTAAAACACGTCCAGATTCAGGAGCTTAATTCAATCCTCGTTGCATGTGGGACCTCTCCCCGGCTGTAGAGGGAGCGATCTGTAGGTAGGTAATCACGGACGATGCGCGCCAGGCCACACTGCCTGTCACTGTCCCCCGTGCTCATAAAGCATGGATCTGGGCGTAAAAATGGCCAGATTCGTGCTATTGTACCACAAAGAGAGCACTGGTGGGACGTATCTGATCGTCTTTGTACATCTCCTTTTTCCTCCCCCTTCTTGAAAGAGGAGAAGAATTGCAGGCTGGTGGTGTTTAAATATTAGTTGGCATTTTTCTTTTTTGTTGAACATTACATGTGGCCCTGTGAGGTTTCACACGTGGCAGCTTGGCGCTTAAAATAGGGTCGGCGTTCCGAACTCCTCTCTGAATATGGTGAGTTTTTTTTTTTTTTTTTTTTTGGTTGAATATAGGGGTTCTGCCCATCTTTACCATCCTTGAAAAGGAATTCCTATCTGTGCCTTTCCCAAAACGTATTTCTCACTCCTTGCATTCCGGCCGATGACTCTCTGAGAGAGAT